GCATTCTTTGCCCGGTAGGCATCACCGCGATTGATGGAAGGCTCATTGCGATTGCTCTTGACTGACTTGGAGGTGCGACCGCTGCGCACCGACTCACCGCTGACCGATACGAGTGGTCGGTGAATGCCACGGCCACCAGGCTGGTAGGTGCTCTTGGCGCCGTCTAGGTCTCCCTCGTCGGCGCTGTCTGCCTCCTCATCATCAGAGTCAATCTCCTCGCGAGCCCTCTTCTTTGCAGCCACACGAGCAGCACTTTTGACGCCGTCCTTTTCTTCGATTTGATCGAGCAGTTCATTGATCATGATGCGACCGTCGTCAGCAATCGGCAGCTTCTTCTTTTTCGTAAGGTGCCCCTCTCCCTCCTCGTCATCCTCGCCACCAGTTCGTCGATACTTCTGAGGAATCTTTGAAAAGACATTCCTCTTGGCCTGAGGGCTCAGCAAATCCAGCGGATCGCCCTCAACGTCTTCACGAATAAAAGTTTTGCTGGTTTTTGTTGACAGACGTGACATCATGTCCAAGTGTGACATCTTTCCCCTTGAGCCTCCCAGCGGAGGTTCATCCTCATTGTCGTCATTACTGCCATGCTCCCATTCATCATCAATGAACTTCTCCACTTCAGCCTCGTCCTCGTCTGAAGAGTCGGCGAATTTTTGTGATTTTCGAGATCGCCTGTGGGACGGAACAAAACTAGGTAAGTAATCACATCGTTTTCCACTCCTTTCAAAACAGCGTACCTAGACTTTCGGTCAAATTCAGCATCCGACTCATTGTCATCATCATCATCGTCATCATTTAGATGTTCGGCATTCCGTTTCTTTTTCTTACGATCCTCAAACTTTTTGATATTCTTGAGAACCTTTTGATAGTCTTCTGAAATCATGCTGGCAACAAAGTCGTAGCTGTGCAAAAAAATATTGTAAAATTTTTAGTTTAGAAAGCGACACAACCAGCTCAAGTTTCAGTATAAACTTACCCAAACTTGCGAACTAACTTGACTAAAAGAACACGGATTTTCATCCGGTACTTGGTTCGGTGCTCAGCAGGCAAATTGGTGATGCTGCAAGTGATCACCTCCAGATACGAATTGAGCATTTCTGGAGAAGCATTTTTGAAGAATACTCCAGTAAAGTCAATGCAAACGTCGAGAACCTGACGAGTAGGAGGCACTGCGGTGGAGGAGGGAGAAATCTGAGAGAAGACCACATCGGCAATGTCGCACTGAATGTCAGCGGGTGATTGGTTGAACTTGTTAGTGTAGAGATAGCTAATGGCCATCAGTCGCGCCGTACGCTCGGAGGCAGACACCTGGGCAGAAGAGCTGGCCCGCAGAGGGTCGATAATTTGATTGATCAGCCTGTAGGTGATGTCCTCTTGGGCATCGGCATCTTTGGACCAGTTCAATTGCGAGTACGATTGCGCCAGAGTAAGCAGCATCTTTTCGGCGTTTTTCATCGCCTTGACTGACTTTAGCAGCAAGCAGTCAAGCGTGCAGGGCAGTAGATGCTCGAAAATCTGCATCCAATCAACTTTTGAATCTTCACTGTTGCCCAAATACTTCTCCACTAAAGCTCGAATAGTTCGCATGGCAAAGGATCGTGTCGATGGTGCAGTAAACTGTTTCCTATCAGAAATGAGTGACAGGAGAAGGGTGACCTGCTGACCAAGAGTGTTGCGCATAAACTGCTCGCACTCAGGCGAGGTACTGTGCACCATCTGCTCAATGATCTTAAAGCCTTTCTTCTGGTCGGCAGATGACTTAGTCTGCTCCACAAGAGGCCTAGCAATTTCCTCATACAGCTTTTCAATGTCTGTCAGTTTGAAGCCGCGAGGTGACGCCAACATTGCACCCAGAATGTCCAGTAAAGCCAATCGTCGGAAATCAGAGAAGTTTGGCTCTTTAAGATAGCTATAAATCCTCTCCAAATTGGTGTAAAATTGCTTGGCAGACTTTTCGTTGATAAAAAGATGAGGAACAAAAAGCTCAATCAGTATCAACACTGGACGTCGCCAGATGTGCTTGATTTGCGTATTTTCATTTTCGTTCAAGTACAGATTGAAGAGAAGGGGCACAAAATTTTCAGCATACTTTGCCACGGCATCGGTCACTTCGGGAGGGCATTTGAGCAAATTTCGCAGTGCAATTAGCGGGTAGGCGATTAGGTCGTGGTCATTCAGTGCCTGGCCGAGGCGTAGAGCAATCGAGGGGAACACCTGGGGAACATCGACTGGACTTCGACAGAAGGAAGGCAGGAGAGCCCAGAGTGCATGCACGCACCGCTCCAGTTCTCGAGTGGCCATCAGAAAAGACTCGTGCGCACGAAAGGCCGTCTGGTAGGCCTCGCCTTCCTGGTCTGCCGCCAGCTCCGAAGTGATCACCTGTCGCATTCGGTCGGCCAACTTCTTGCAGGTGGACGCCTTCTTCGAAAGGTCGTCAGCAAGGGGGAGAAACTTCTTCACAAATAGTGACAGATTTGCATGTTCATTGGTGTGATCACGAAGAATGGGGAGCAGCCAAGGGTTGGTGAATTCACCCCTAAACTCGGCATCGGGATTCGCCACCGACTCGGCAGTTTGCCACCTTACTGGAACATTTTGATAAACAGTCTGCGGCCCGTAGAAGGCAACTGCTTTGCTGAAGAAGCCATCGATCGCGTCGTTGATGTTTGAATCGTTTGATTCGTGCAGTTCTGCCAGTCGAGTCATGATGGGACCAAGTGACTGTACTGCTACTTCATTGCGAACAAACAATTCGCTCAGCATCGGTATAACCTGAACCCAGGCGTGACTGTACTGATATTTGAGGGTTGATTTGAGTTCAGAGTACAGCGCTTCCAGTAAATCGGCTGGACATTTTTCCACTTGTTCTTTGATAGTTAATGTGAAGATTGCGTTGATGCAGTTGCAGACGCAGTTATGCACCTGAGTAGAATCACTTTTGAGAAACTCAACGGCTGTTTTGATGAACTTGATCAGATGCAAATTGCTTAGCTTTGCGTCTAAATTGTTCAGCGAAAGAAGTGCTTCTTTGAGAGCAATGCACCAGGCGTTCAACGGCTGGTCGTCGTTGATATTCGGTTGATAATCGTAAAGGGCATTTATCAGTTGGGCGTTTAGTTCTGCACTTAGAGTAGTGCTACTTGGCCGACGTAAAAAGAAGTGATAGAAAGTTTGCAGTGCTCCATTGACGACGAGCACATTGCCCAGTGCCATGTGAGATAAAATAGCTTCGCATGTTCGTTTGGTCAGCTGCAATGACGGAAACTGGAACATGGTGTCCGAAAGAAGCGCGAGAACGTACAGTAGTATGTGCATGTGCTCGTCCTTGATTGTCGTTAGATGTTCTTCAAGTTTGGAGATGCAAAACTCTGCAAGAATTTTTTGAGCCAAATTAATTCCCGACTTGGTGTCAGCATTTACAGTCGCGTGGGTAGTAATCGAAATAACCGAAAAAGTTGCTGCTTTGCGAATGCGAGGCTTTGAGTGGAGAACCAGCGATAGCAGTGTTTGAAACACCTTCTGAGTTGACAGCTGCTCCCAGACAGGACGATCCTGGTGCTGCAAAAGCGTGGTCAGCGCGCTGATGACCGACTTAATAAGGTAGCCATTTGGAGATTGAGTGTTGATGCGTTCGTTGAGAATGCTCATTAAAGCGTTGGCGGTGTCGCGAAACTTCACCTTCAAAACAGACGGTGGGACACGTTTAAGAACCATTTGAATCAAAGCAAGCGTGGCGGTCAGCTTCTCTTCGGTGTCAACGCAGTTCAAAGTAACCATCAGCCCGGCAAAATATTCGGTCTCGGTTTCATTTCCATTGCCGTTTTCAATCGCTTCTCTCACTGTGGCCAGTACGGCGAGCATACACTTGTGCACTTTTGACTTGGTGTCAAAACCGTTGAGGAATCGGTCGAAGCTGACGTTGGTGCAGTTGGTCCAAACGCTGGCAGCCGAAACATTTCCAAGCGAAATGACGTCCTCGTTTAATCGGTTGCTCGGCAGAGAAAGATCATTTTCATCGGTGGACTTTGTCGATTGACCGTTGAGCCAGCCACTAACTCCACCCTGAGATTTGCTGGCGGTGCCCTCAGAGCTACCTTCCAGGCGTTGCTTTTGCAGTTGAATTGCATCAAATCTTTCAAGCAAATCCTTCGTCAGGGTAAACTTGTTCGACCCTGAAGCCGTCCCGGGGTCAGATCCGCCGTTGGTTATACTCGAAAGTGCCTGATTGGCTCGAGCGCGATGCTTTTTTGAGTCGGGATTTGAAACGCTGCTATGGCCCCGTTGCCATCGTTTTCCTTTCCCTTTGGTGGCTTTAGCTGCGATGCGCGGCATGGTGAACTTGATTTAACCTAGTTGTTTAAAGCCATCTATAAAATTCTTATTAGATTCAACTCTGCACGTTATTTAACAAAACAATGCAACTTACATAAAGAACTCAAGAGGAAGAGAACAAGAACTTGCAGAATAGAAGAGAAAAGTAGAAAGCGTTTTCAAAGCGTGCATCAGAATTCTGCCGAAACACGCGGTAGAGACTATACCGACAGGAGTAGGCGACGACTGTTTCCACAACAAAAACAGCGCAAAATCAAACTTCGCACTTTTACATCACTCCCCTTTGGAGTTTTTGTTACGTAAAGATAAATTACGTTATAAATAGATAAGATGAAAAACTAATTAGTGAAACTACAAATTATTTCACTTAAAACTGTTTGTATTTTTATAACATTTTTTGATGATTTTAAGCAATTGGCTTTAAAACTTGTCATTGGCGACAATTGGTGTTTGCTATTCAGGATCACAATTTTTAGTGCGATACCCAAAAATCATTGATAAGATTGTGCCCAACCGCTGCTGTCGGGAGTGCTTTGGCGNTTGATGATTTTAAGCAAGTGGCTTTAAAACTTGTCATTGGCGACAATTGGTGTTTGCTATTCAGGATCACAATTTTTAGTGCGATACCCAAAAATCATTGATAAGATTGTGCCCAACCGCTGCTGTCGGGAGTGCTTTGGCGTCTGTATCGGTGACTAGTACTTTTTGCATCACACAAAAAAACTGCATTTTAGTAGATCACCTATGCTTTACTTTGTATATACTTACTGTTTCTTCCTTTGCAGTTTGTCAACCCTTTGCGGCTTTGGCCAAACCAGCCCGCAATATATTCAAGAAAAAGTGGGTCCGAAAAGGCCGTTCAAAAGCCTCGAAGGGAAACATCAGGATGGATCACCACCACCACCATGAAGGTATCACATCAAAAGGTCACCATATGGATGCGTACACCTTCAAATATGTCTACACCTGTGATATTGAAGAAATTGGCTTTCGCGTTAAAGTGTAAGTGTCGTAAAGTTGTTGTAAGCTGTTTATTGATATTCCATTGTTTCCCCTTCAGCGGCAACTTGGACGGCATTTTTCCGCCATCTGCTCAAACCGACAATGCTCCCAGTAAACGCCAGCAGTCTCCTCAAAGTCACAACAAATCGCATTATTCCTCATCGTCGACGATTCAAAACAACTACAACTACAATGTTGTGGAAGTTCTTGAAGAGCTGTCTCTTATCGATGATCTTGCCAGTTCAGACGAAGAGTCAAGCAGCACACAGGAGGATGCTGCTTCAGCCTCGCCAAAGTCCACTGCTGAAAATACTGACTCCATTCCGCTTTACGTTGAATCGTTGAATAAGCGCCAAAAGGAGCATAAATCACAGCAGAAGAAGAGTCAGAAGCTGTCTCAGATCATCTTCGGTGGCCTTAGCCAGCCTGTTCGAGCACTCTCTTGCCACCCTTTCATAACTTGTGATCTAGTTTCCAATGGCCAGCGACTTTGTCCTCCTCAACAAACGCAGTACAAGCAGATGACTAAGCGCTANATCACAGCAGAAGAAGAGTCAGAAGCTGTCTCAGATCATCTTCGGTGGCCTTAGCCAGCCTGTTCGAGCACTCTCGTGCCACCCTTTCATAACTTGTGATCTAGTCTCCAATGGCCAACGACTTTGTCCTCCTCAACAAACGCAGTACAAGCAGATGACTAAGCGCTATGAGTATGTTTACGCCTTCCTTTTGCACTGAACGAATTAATCAATAGGTTTTTGCTTTCAGATGGAACGAATGGCTTCTCTTCTCACTTACCCTTGATACTCTTCCTCGAGACACTCGCGTCTGCTTCACCGTTTGGGACACCGTTGCACCGGGCAAAATGGCAGCTGTCGCGCGAACTTCCATAGCGCTTTTCAGTAAACACGGATGCTTACGCAGAGGAATCTATGATCTACGGTTGTACTTTAACGACGACTGTGATGAGTCAATTCGAGGCCATGAAAACGGTGATAAAGTGCCTCCGCCTTCTCTAAAGCAAGCTTCTTCTTCGCCCTCATCCTCAAGTACCGAAATCGCCTTCTCCGATCTCGACTTTAATCATCGTGACCACCGCAATAAGCATCTCATCACACCGGAAGGGGATTTCGTCCTCAATGGCTATAATACTCCCAACAATGTCAACAAAGATACCAGTGTCAAGCACACGCCTCCACAAAAGTCCAAATTCGATAGCTCAGCAAATGGTTCTGATACAAACTCACTAAACTTCACTTCGACGACGCAGTATATGCAAAATGATTTGAGCCTTTACCCAGATGGAAACTGTGGTCTTTCCAAAAAGGTTAAGCAACTCAACAAACTGAAAAAGAAGTACTACAATGGCCAGATACCAAAGGTCACGTGGCTCGACAAACTTACTTTCCTGAAAATTGAACACATCATTGTCGATGAGAAAACGATCAGCACTTTAGTTTTTCTTACTGTTGAGTTTCCGGTTGTTGTTCTGGACGGCGTGGAGCATTGCGTGGTGTACTACGAGGACAAGGAAGAGCACTGCTGTCAGTATGACATCATTGAAAAGGAAATCGTCACAATTCAAGACCCTGAAATCAGTTTGGACAATTTGGTTGAGCAGAAGCACCACAAGTTAGCTCGATCTGCGCGTTCTGGCATTTCGGATCGAGACCTCAAGCCAAATGCCACCATTCGCAATCAATTAAATGATATAGTCAGCTGTCCATCGACTAAACTACTTACAAGTGAGGAGCAAGATCTTGTCTGGAAGTTCCGCTTTTACCTCTGTACACAGAAGAAAGCGTTAACAAAGTTTTTGAAAACTGTCAACTGGAATTCACCTTCCGAAGTGGAGCAGGCAATTAATTTAATGGAGGATTGGGCGCCGATGGACGTAGAGGATGCACTTGAGCTTCTTTCACCTCAGTTTCGCCATCCAATTGTGCGAAAGTACGCCGTCAGCAGATTAAAAGAAGCAGTTGATGAGGTGAATCATTTCAAAGCAGCTTTTTATAGATATAAACTAATTTTGTGTTTACTTTTAAAAGGAACTGCTTCTTTATCTACTTCAGTTGGTTCAAGCTTTGAAATATGAAAGTTTTATTGACATTCATCGTTCATTTGATTCAGAGCTAACTGAATACCGCTCAAAACCGCAGGCGGCAAATGTGCCACCGACCAGTGAAGCAGAAGGGTCCAAAGGAACAAGGTTTGTGAGCCGAACATTAAGGCATTCTCTAACTATCGTTTACTTCTAGAAAATTATTTGAAGAGGGACCTCATTCCACGGTGGAATCGTTTCTTGCTGAGTCCATTAAAATGTTTTCAGCTCCTCCGAATCTGGAGACATTTGGTGAAGGTAGAACCAGCGATTCAATTCCGCCTTACTCCTCGACCAACTCCCTTTCAGCTGGAGGTGATGGCAGCTCCCTTGTGGTTCAGCACGGTGAACAACTCACTTCGAAGAACAGTTCAAACAAGTACGGCGAAGACTTGGCGACCTTTCTCATCAACCGAGCTTGCTCTAATGATTCTCTGGCAAACTACCTCTTCTGGTACTTAATGGTCGAGTGCGACGGAGTCCCCAAAAGTGACGCCGCTTCAAGCAGCAGCAACAGCTCATTCGAACAGGGCTCACCCCACAATAGCATCATCAGTTCGGCGTACACCACATCTTACCTTGTGCCTCCAACTTCGCCCCCTGTCTACAACAATGATTCCTACCTAAAATGGAACCGTGACTCCTCTTCTCCAACGAGCAGTGTAGTGAAAATGTACCAAACAATGATGATGCGATTTAGCTTGAGGCTATTCTATGGTGGCCAAGAAATGTTCGCTAGACGTAACTTTTTAATACGTCAGTATAAGTTTGTAGAAAAGCTCGTTGTCATCATGAAGGATGTTGCTCGCGAAAGTGGCAATAGAACAAAGAAGATTGAAAAGTTGCAGACTATTTTGTCTTCGCCTGAACCACAACATCGATTCAACTTCAGCAAAAGTGACCCACTTCCACTTCCACTTAATCCGGACGTTAAAATTGTGGGAGTTGTTGCCAAAGAGGCGACGCTGTTCAAGTCTGCGATGATGCCCGCTAAACTGGCTTTTTACACTACTGAAGGCTCAATCTACAGTGTCATCTTCAAACATGGGGATGATCTACGCCAGGACGATCTCGTCCTGCAGATGATCATTCTAATGGACAAGCTGCTGAGAATGGAAAATCTTGATTTGAAGTTGACTGCTTACCGAGTGCTGGCTACCGGAAGTAAGCATGGCTTTGTCCAGTTTATAGACTCTCAGTCGGTGGCTGAGGTTCTTTCAATTGACGGCACTATTCAGAATTATCTAAGAAAGATATCGACCAAATGGGGCAACAAAACAAATCAGCCGATTGGTCAACCTGCAAGCTCGTCAGCCGCTTCGATGGACTTTCAGTTTGTTTCTAGTGGTAAGTACAAAATGATTGGCAAGCTTTCCACTGTATCTGAACTTACGGTAATCCTTCTTTCTGCAGTGCAATCTAAGCAAAACGAAAGCAGCTTGTCTACCTCTCCCGCCAGTCATTCCGGACTCCCATCTGCAGGATCTTCTAACAATTTGACTGCCAACTCGATTGCTCCTGAAGTAATGGATGCCTATGTAAAGTCATGCGGTAATATGATACTTTTAGCAAGTGTNCACTGTATCTGAACTTACGGTAATCCTTCTTTCTGCAGTGCAATCTAAGCAAAACGAAAGCAGCTTGTCTACCTCTCCCGCCAGTCATTCCGGACTCCCATCTGCAGGATCTTCTAACAATTTGACTGCCAACTCGATTGCTCCTGAAGTGATGGATGCCTATGTAAAGTCATGCGGTAATATGATACTTTTAGCAAGTGTTTGGTTTTCTTGTGCTGATCTATCTCTTACTTTAACAGCTGGTTACTGCATCATCACCTATCTGCTCGGAGTGGGCGACCGTCATCTTGACAATCTAATGATGACCAAAACTGGTCGTCTTTTTCACATTGACTTTGGTTTTATTCTCGGCAGAGATCCAAAGCTCCGACCACCGCCAATGAAGATTACCCGCGAAATGGTCGATGCAATGGGTGGAATGAGCTCTGAGAACTTTGCCCGATTTTGCAATCTTGTTCGCACGGCATTTCTTCATCTTCGACGACATGCGAACCTTATTTTAAACCTCTTTTCACTTATGGTCGACGCCAACGTTCCTGATATTGCCCTTGAGCCTGATAAGACCGTCCAAAAGGTGCAGGACAAGTTTAAGCTCGAGCTTAATGACGAACAGGCAGTACATCACATCACCGAGCAAGTAGAGCAAAGTGTCCGTTCCATTATGCCAGTTGTGGTTGATCAGCTGCACAAGATGACCCAGGTAAGTTAATCTTTTGTCCTGTTTTTGTTTGCTCAAAATAAGTTTTTAATCGATTGTTTTTCTTTTGGCAGTATTTACGAAACTAACAGAAACTGAATGCCACAAGAACCTGACGATTGATTTAACTACTGAAAAGGCACAACGGTGCACATTGCCGCATATTGCAACTGTTTTTGAATGTGGTCGTGGTGTGGTGGTGGTGGGTTTGCCGTCTGCTGAGTCTTTGCCTCTGTTCTGGCCACTTGAACACATACACAGACATTCACATTCACATTCAGCAATTCGGACGATTGTCGCTCACTTCTGTTTTGGCCTTGTTAGGCCAGCACTGATTATTAATTCATGTCCCCTCTTTTTATCTCTTTATATCAATTACGAGTATTTGAATAATAGCAATCATTGTAATTGTCGCTGTGCGCTGTGTCAGTGTGCACTAATCTGCTATTACCGTTGTTGTATTTATTGTTCGCCTGCTGTATGTGCTCGTGGAGCAGGGCACAAGCACACAGACAGACGTTGTTCCCGGCATTGCTTTGCCTCTCTCGCCCTCATGTTTGTCCCCAATTGTCCCAATTGATTGCGATCAGGCAGCACTGCCGCGGCGCCGTCGGTGCGCGCGCTAATGGCTTTGCCACTGAACAACACACCAGCCGAAGTCTACTGGGCTGAATGGCTGGCAGCTTACCAGACTACAGTTTACCAGAACTGGTTCACTATTTTGTTGTTCCTTCACCTGTCGCCCAAATGTATGGCCTTGTTCATCAAGTGCACGCGTTTTCTACTAGGTTTAGCAGCAGCTGTAAGAGCAAAACTCAACAAAAATCATTTTTGCGTTTTTTGAAGCTAAAAATTTTTAGTTGTCATTTTTTTGAAACAAAAAAATAATTGTGAAAGCACTTCCTAAAAGTCTCAATACAAATGAACTCCACTTGACATCGACGATTGTGCGCCTGCCGCCGGAGCGCTTCACATTCTGACAGAATTAGCAAATCTGATTGTGTTTCCATTGTCAATGACATGATGGCGGAAAGAGCGCCTGGACACTTTCAATTTGTCAATTTGCACTGTACTTGGGCCTGGCCAGTACTTGGAAGAGCTGAGCACATTGCCAGCAGTCAGTGGAAAGAGTGCTCCGGCAGACGAACAGTTGTCAGTGGGCAGTGGACAATTGGACGACGGCCAAGATGACGACCACTGCGACCAGAGCTGAGCAGTAGTGCGGCAACGTGACGGTGCTGGTCACCTAGCGATACAAAACCCCCTTCTCCTCTCTGCTCAGTGTGTGTGTGTGTGTGTGCTGAGTATAAATATTTCAATGAATCCTCACTGCTGCCAGTCGATTTTCATAATTGCGACCCCGGTAGCGGTGGTCAGCTCTTGGCTGCTCTGCCCTGCTCTGCCTGCTTAGCTCCGAATGGCCCATCAGCCTCGCATTCGTCACTGTCGCTGCCCAGTCAGTGTGGGCCACACCGGAACACCGGAGAGCAGCACTCTGCCACAGCAAACTGCAGCTGCCGACGCCATAAAGCTGTGTGACGTGGCTGTGAATCTCCCATTGGTTATCTGTTTATGAGCACAGTGTGGCGAACAGAGGCATTGACGAGGTTCTTTTATGACGGAACTTCATCGTTTATGATTGCAGTACGCCGCTGTTGAGAGGAGCACTTGAAGAGTAGACACAGCACACTGAAGAAGACAAAGTGTCGACTGCTTTCACTGTCTCTTCATTAGTTAATTCGCACAAACACTCCTCAAACAATAAGTCAGCAAAATGAAATTTTTATTGCTCTTGCCGGTAATTGGAAATGGTATTGCCAGTGCAGTCAATTAGTGACCGTTGCCGGCTCGCTGAGGACTACTGCTTTTGCCTAGTGCAACCAGTTTCTCTCTTTCTCACACTCTCTCTATTTCGAAAGGTGCTGCACAGTTTTCAACGTTCCTTTACCGCAAGCACTCTATTATTCATAGGGGACGATTAATTAAATACTTTTGTTCTCTTTGACTGTATTTTTACTTTATCTTTATTTGCCTCCTTCTTGGTAGGGTGTTCCAAAAACTTTATTGTAGTTGGCAAGTTGACTGCTTTTTAACTTTCAATCTGATGATAGATAGATTGAGCCAATTGATAACTGCAATGGCGAGCATACAAAAGACTGTATTTTTTATCAAAAGATAATTACTACAAAATAATTTTTTGCATAACAATTTCAAAGTTCTAAAGTAGCTAAAAAATCTAAAATGGCAAAAAATCACGGCCAATTGGTGCAGCAGTTTATGGTTGTTGATATTTGTTCAGCTAAGTGCAGAAGAAAAAAGAAAAAGAGCATTTCAGAGATTGGTTAGCCAAAAAAAAACAACAAGGACCTTGGTCATCGCAAATATGAGCTTTAACTGTGAAACAAAAGCATTTGTTTGTTTTGTCTCGCATATTGATTACAAAAGTCTTCACTTTTTTTCCAAGAAGCACAACCCGTTTCACACATTTTGTCAAATGGTTGCATGACATGAAGTGTGTTTTTGGACATTGGATATCTCAGTTTATTTTATGTACATTCCTATTATTTGTTTGCTCTTTTAACTTTTATTCTTTTTAATAAAAAAATATTTTTAATTTTTTCTCTATTTTACAATGAAACGTATGCAAATCAATTTTGCCCCAAATTAATTTTCATGTTTTGTTGCAACNCTTATTTTATGTACATTCTTATTATTTGTTTGCACTTTTAACTTTTATTCTTTTTAATGAAAAAATATTTTTAATTTTTTCTTTATATCACAATGAAACGTATGCAAATCAATTTTGCCTCAAATTAGTTTTCATGTTTTGTTGCAACTTATTCCTTTTTGAGAGCAGAGCACATTTGATATTGATAAATGATTGCATTATATGGCCTTGATATTAATGTGCATTTTATGGCTTGCCGGCACCAGTTTTACGGTGCCATTCGTCGTTCTGTGAAACACAAGATGAACAGCAGTTTCGCTTTTTCAGCTGATGTTTAGTGGTGCGCACCTTTTGTCAAGTGCCGTAGGAGGACTTGACTGTTTCGATTGACAGGCAAGTAAATACCTGAATTTGGTTAATTGAAGAGAGTTTTTGACAAATTTCGTCAGTGTTTTTTTCAGTTTGTCCGAGTTTCATTTGGAGCAATTCACAGTCGATCGATGGCAATGGGAGTGAAGTGGTGGGAAACGGTGAGAGACCAATTTAGTAAGAACCTTAAAAAAAGTCGTTTTGGCCATTGCAGATATGGCTCTCTGAGCGGCAACAATTGTCGTTTCTATTCTTGTTCATATTCTTTTTTACCTTAGTTAGTTGGCAGTGAAAGTGTCAATATTGATTGGCTTGAACTGGAAAGATCACAGATCGATTGGAAATAGTCTGCTAGGTCACGTCACCATTTTATTATTTCTGACCAGGTGTGTGTGCAAGAAACTGCTCATGATCAGTTTTCAAAACGTATTTATCAGTTTTGTTTACATTTGGTAATTATCAAAAAGTAGTTTTTAGGTCATCAGCGTCTAATTTGATGATTGAATGTCAGTAGAGCAAAAAATGTTTACATTTTAAATTGTAACCACTTTTTATCTTTTGATATTTATCTGTCAACATTGTAGTAGAACATACATGCACTTAAATTAATGTTTGCGTTGTTGAAAGATAACTTAAAATGATATTTATTTCCAATGAGTATTTTCGTTTGTCCTTCATAATTTTTTTTGCTTTTAGTTTTGCCATCTTGTCTGGCATTGCTCAATTTGCGTTTATTGGCTAAATGAGTAATGCTTTTGTCGATTTGTAGACGCAGATATGGTTTTTTCTTTTACAATTTTTCAAAATTTATTTTGCAGTTAAACATGATTTGAGATTTATGAAACCAACTAAAGATGATTGATTTGGCTTAATTATTTAAATGAACTTGATTCACTTGACTAATTTGAAAGAAGCTTTACAACTCTGCAATCATCATTGTCTTGTGTAATCGATTACAAGCCAGTAACGATTAAGCGAGAGCAAAAATATAGTCCGGCTATTGTCTTGCAGCAGGAAGGGGAAGTTTCACTAATGCTTCAGCATTTTCATTGTGTGCAGTCAGAAGTTGGCTTTGCTGAAGAGCGACTGACTTGCTGTTCAATACCTGACTCCTGACACTGACTCTACTGCTGTCGGTATTCTGGCTTAGCACTTCTATACTTCAGCAAACCGGTAATTTGGCACACTTTCTTGCCTCGCGTCTTAGCTTCGCTCTCTCAGACGGAGACTGCCTAATCCTGAAGAAGCTGTCTGCGGTGGTGGTGAGTGTCCGCGGCTCACTTGCTGGAGAAAGAAAAAGAGCAAAAAAACCATGGCAGTTTTGGAGACCCGTGCCAAGAGATAACTGCCACGTCTCCGACGACGCCCGATGGCCCGCCCCAGAACCGGCGACGGTCGGTCGGTGTGAGAGCGGCACTGCCGTCCACTGTACAGTTGTCAGCGTCACTGTCATCGGCTGTCCACTGTGGTCTCGTTGCGGCCGCTGCTGCCCTCTCCCTCTCCCTCTCCCTCTGACTGCCTTCCTTCGCTTCTGGTGCTAGTTCATTGCTTCACTGGCCTGCTGCCTTCACTGCTGCCTCTTTTCCATACTGAAACGGCTAGCCAGCTATTTGGTGGTGCCTGCACACTGAATGACTGACTGACTGACGACGACGACGACGACGACGAGAACGACCAGAAATGGCAGACTACGGGCACCGACGAAAACGACAGAGCGCACCAGCGACCGGCTGCTGCAGAGACTCCATTTGCTGAGGAAGTCTTTGCCGTTGCTCTACCAGTAGCCATAGTCGTCGTCGCTGAATCTGAATCAGCAGTTGATTACTTCTACAAACTCTCTCTCTCTTTCTCTCTCAATTGTTTTCCTCTTTTCATGTTTCGATTGTTCGGCGTGCGCGACCTACACCGCCGATTGGTGTCACCGACAGAGCACATTTATAATTTCCATTGCAACAATTAATATATT